AGGCAGGAGCCTCGCCGCTCGCCCCCCAGCCCAGCACACCGGAGCTCCTCCTCGGAGAGCGAGCCCGCTCGGAGGGAAATGACTTCAAAATGCCTCCAGATGCCTTTTCACTTCTTTTTATTGAATTCCATAAATATTTTCATAAGGCTCAGTGTCTTTACAACACCTTTTTTTTTTTTTTTTAAACACTTTTTTTTGTTTGTTTTTTACACACAACTTTGACACTTGTTTGACAGGGTCAAACAGTCCAATATAAACAAAATAATAAAACTGGCAAGTGCGGATCAGCTGGGTTACCAAAATCCTTTTTTTTTTTCTTTTTTTTTTTTTTTGTTCTTACTGTTAAAACCCCAAAAGCACTAAAATATCAGTATTTGGCTTCAAACTAGAATTTTAAAAACCTTTTTTTTTTTTTTTTTTTTTAAATTCTCTGCTTCAATTCCCTGTCGTCATAGTGCCTTTAAACTCCTACAGACGCTTCTTTTCTTCTCAAGGAAAAATAAGCTTGGTGATGCCATGCAGAACTTACAATAGCTACTAAATATACATGTTCCCTGAAATGTAGCTGCAATGAAAAGATGACAGAGCATAAAGAGAACAAAACCAGAAACCCAAAGCACCACAGTGTACTATCAATAACATTGCAATGGACGGCCGGTGACCATCCAGAAACTGAAACAAAATTTCAAATATATTTTTCTATGTATTATTTTCTATTTACAACTGTTAGATGCACCTAGGTTGCTTCTTGTTTGAGCTTTTTGGAGAGGGTGGGGAGGCGAAAGTCTTGAATTTAGATCCTCTGTTCTAGTGTCTAGGTCAAGGGGTAATGCATGTCATTTACCTAGTTCCCTTCACATTTTTGTCTCTAATATACGTGTGTGTATATATATATAAATATATATATATAGTTGCAGCCAGAGAAATACCGTAAACACGTAAGTTCGTTACAACTGTCTTGTTTTCTGCGTAGGGAATGGTATGTGGGTTCCTCCTGTCTGGCACTGAAATGAAAGTCTCTATCGGATGCTCAGTCAGGATCACCCCACTCTGGTGGCATCATCTGAGCTGCGTCCAGAGCTTTGGAGCGCCCGAGGCGGCCCAACCCTGCTCCCTAGCGCGAAAGCCACGGCAGGCAGCAAAAGTGGGACCCGGTGCTGGTTCTTCTTTGCGATAACGCGCCATCTCTTGCAGCACCTTGGCAATTTATGGAGGGGAAGAGCTTGCTTGAATGTCCTGACTGAGAGCCAAGCCCCTCTTTCCTCTGGAGCAAACGCCTGCATCTGCTTTGCCGGCCACCTGGCTTGGGCAAGGGCTAGCAACGCTAGTCTGGTTTGGCTTTCCATTTAAGGAAGAAGCTGCGAGTCCAACAAGTGGCCTTGTCAGATCAAGCGAGTCTTGATTTATGATGCAAATAATGGTGTGGCGGGGGGGTTTCTTTTTTCCTAGTGCTGAATATTTAGGAAGCATCTTCTCATAAAAATTATGGATGTCTCATTCTCACTCTCTGAGGCACAAAACAGTAAATGAACAGGCTTAACTAACGTGCTTGTTACTTTTTTTTTTTTTGTTTTCCCCTAAGCAATTAAAAAGGCAAAGGAATAAGTGAAATTTCATCATGTTGACAATATTTTATAATCTCTCTCTCTTTCTCTCTCCCTGTCTCTCTGCATCTCTCTCCAGCCTTTCAGAAATAGTACGATGCTTCAGTTCGCGTCTGCGAACCAGTCTCATTCACTTCTCTAAATGCCCCTTCTGTTGAACAAACGACATAATTATCGCTACCTAGTCTGTATTAATATCTGAGCATAAAAATGCAGAGATACAAAAGAGCGTAAAAATCAGTTCTGATATAAAAGTGTGTTGCCTCCTATACGGAAATCCTGGTGTTTAGCTGTTGCCCACTGCCTGTCGCAGCGAGGAGGTGTTTTCCCCTCGGAAATCCTCCTCTGGCTTTGCGGGTTACTGGTAGTTTCTAGGTTTCTAAAAAGTGCTGAGATTATTTTTGTGCTTAAATAAAAAAAATACATAGTCACTGCCTTGCAACATGCCCTGAAAGAAAACAGGCTTCATAGAAATACTGAAATCGCACTCTCTGCTAGTCTTCCCAATTTCTTGATTTTCTTAAGGGAGAGAAAATAAATATATCTCCATGCGAGGTGGCCTGGGGATGCTTATACGGTGCGTGAGATTCAACACAAAACGACAAACACCATGATCAATCACTTCATCCCACCTTCGCAAAGGAGCCGGCAAAACAGCTCTGCAAAGTTTTTAAGTTCATCCTCTAAAGCTGGTTAAACCGTCTCATTTGTCCAAGCGGGAAAAAAAAAAAAAAAGTCATCCTAGGGCACAATGATTTGTTTTACAAGCTCAAACACAGGCTGTTGGGCTTGCAAAGAAACGCACCGAAGGCTGAAATTGTAGGAAGCGTCTTTGAAAACACACAGCTCTGAAACTCCAGAGTGAGACAAAGAGAGAGAAAGAGACCCAGAGAGTTTAGCTGCCTCCTGTCGAGCCCACTGACCACGATACGCCTCCGCTGAACCCCTGCTACAGGTCAGATTAACTTGATCGCTGGTCTAGATTAGGTCACGCAATCATGGCCAGAGGGCTAAACTTCTCGGGTCACATCAATACCAGAGCTAGCCCTTCTGACTCGTTCTTTCTTTCCCTCTACAGCTTGGCTGCGTCAAATAGCAGGTAAATACCCCCAGTTACTTAAGCAATGATCCTTAGGCTACCGGGTCGCTCCTGGCAGCTAACGGGTTGCTTGGCAGGTCAGCGCCCAAAGCAAAGCCGGGCGCTTTGGCGAAATAGCCAAGAGCAGTCGCGGGCCTCGCTTTTGGGATCATCGCTGCTGGAAATAGCAACTAGCGGTTCATTAGAGCAGTACCGTGCAGGCGTGAGAGGGGCCGACAGGATGGGACCTTAGTTCCTGAAGAAAGAAAACTGGCCGTTTCTCGGAGCCTAACAGCCAATTTTCCGCTAGCTGCAACGGAGGGCATGAAGCCATCCATTTTTCAGCTTTTATCTTTGCGTAGAAAACAAAGATAGCAGTGGGCATTTCATAGTTGTGGCTCGGCTTAGAAAGAAAACAAATCCAAATCAAAAATAACCCCACGGAAATAAAAAGAAATGCAAAAGAAATACGAAAGCCCTCTACAGTCTTTTCTCGGTCTTACTCCAAGTGTGAGCAAGTCACACCGCATTGAGAAAAAGACAGCACTTACTTTAAAAAAAAAAAAAAAAGCAAGAAACCAACTCAGGAAAACCCACTCACTTCCTAAAAAGCCCTTTGGCTCGTTTTCCCCTGCCCACAGTAAAACAGTTAAAGCCAGAGAAATACTGCGCAGCAGAGCATGGTGCACGACAGAGCACATCCAGCCAGGCACGAGTCAGACCAGAGAGCGCGGGACGGGGAGGAGGACAAGGGACGATGCTCTGTGTGGAAATGACAACGCCGGGGGCAGCCAGGGAAGGGACGGAGAGGGAAGGAGAGGGAGCAGCGCTCTCCCGGCACTCCAAAAAACAAACAACCCCCCCCCCCCCCCCCCCGCCATAAATAAAATCAAATAAAATATACACCAACGTAGTCCACGAGGAACGTCAAAGACGAACTCACAGAAGCGAGAAAGCATTCTGGAATGCCAATGGCGACTTGAATGAAGATGAAGAAGAACAGAAAAAAAAAAAATTATGTCCGACCAATGGAATAAAATAAAATAAAATAGGTCACATGATTAGAAATCATTGGTGCTTCCTAGTATCTAGTAGCAGATTGCTTCCCAAAAACAACAAAAAAAGTTTTTGGTCCTTCTATATATATACATATATATATATATACACGTGTGTGTGTCGATATATATATATATGTATATATATTTAGTTGCAACAGTGCTTCTCCGAAAAAAGGTCCATCTATAAATATAATTTTATTTATTTTTATTTTTAATTTTTAGGTTTTTTTTTTAAGTTTAAAATTCTCCATCTCACTCTACGTATTATTTTTTGAATGGCGTTAACCTGCTGAAGTTTTGCCAGAATGGTGACTGGCTGCGTTTGGGTTCGGTGAACTCGAAGACCTGGGACTGGGATATGCCATCTGTCACCATGTATTGTCCCTGATTTAATGGATCCTGGGGTGGTGGGTAGGCTGGAGGAACCGACCTGGAGTAGCTGACACCTGCATCGATGATTGGGGGGAAAAAGAAACAGATCAGTCAAAGTGCAATTGGGTCAATCGTCTTTCTTTGTCATGCTATCGCTTCTTGTCACTTAATAACCAGGGTCCCGAACAACGGGGAGCTGGGCTAGAGACGGCAAAGCTACGGACGAAATCAGCAGCTACCTGGAGCCTCACCTCGAAGGCTACCTACGCTAGGCAACGAGTTGACGGTTTGGAAAAGATCCGTGACTTCTGCATTGGAGGAGCTTTGCTGGCCCTCACGGAAAAGCCCTAACGAAAGTACGGCCAGGCCCTCGGGACTATCACCCTGGTTGGACGAGGGCAGACGGCCGCATCATTCAACCCCGCTCCCAGGTTTAACCCTTGCTCTTCCCAAGCTCGGTCTCACCCCCCTGCTCCCCTTGGGAAGGTGCTCTGCCCCCGGGTGCATCCGGCAGTCGGGCCCCGAGCGGCGCGACCCCCAAAAACCGCTCGGCCCCGGCTCCTCTCGGCTCCCGCGGCAGGAACCCGCAGAGCGAGGCCGCCGCCGCCT